CTTGCTTACTTCTGAAAATGAACACTCATTGAGAGTGTGAGATTATCTGTCATTTGCTATTCTATTTTAGCAGCTTATAAAGGAAATATAGTCATTTACTTAAGGCATGTATTCATTTCTTTTACTGAAGGATAATTTACTATAAGGATCAATTTATTAAATTCTCAAAATCTTATTTTGCTTAATTGCCCTAACATACATACGTCTAGGTTGAAATCAATTATCTAATCTAGTAACTTATTCTCCATAATTTACCTTGTTGGACTTGTTCTATCACTAAAGTCCAATTTGGCCTAGAGACTTAGTAACGGCGTTCTAACTCGTAGACCGTTGAACTTTAGACTTAAGCGGGGTTGTTGAACTAATACGGGCATTAGACCCGCATCTAACTTTAAAATTCTAAGGGCCTAACATATTTAGCTCGTAAGTGCCCGTTGGGATGTTTTGCTCAAAAATTATTAAGCTTTTAAAAGAAACTATCATTCGATTTTTATAAAACCGATTACTCATTTATCTAGTTACAAGTACTAAAATCCCATTATAAAATCTCTTTTCGAATACCGACTTTTGAAACTATTCCACAAGTCATTTTATGGTGATTCGAACATACAAAAAGAAACAAACTTGTTCAAGACTTCAATACCAGTCTCACCTGATTGCAACGCCAAAAGGGAATTAATTGGAAAAAGAAAAAAAAAAAAAAAAAAAAAGACCATTACAACTTGGGGAGGAAGATTATCTTCAAAAATAGTTAAAGCTTACCTTTTTCCACTAATAAAGCTCCCTCCCAGTAATTCCATCAAATAGGTTTGGAGAATTACTCAACTGATATAACAGAATTAACAGTAGTTAGATGAGATAACAATCTACTAATGTAAATTAGTTACCTTTAACATATTAGAAGAGATTGATCGTCGTTGCTTTATAATTTTGTTGCTCCTATTCCTTAAACAATAAAACTTTTAAAAGTCTAAAATAAGTGCGGCTCTAGTCCGGTACAGATATTAAGCTTAAGATGATATATTCGTAGTTTTTTTTTTTTTCTTAAATTTTATATGAGCATAAGTGGACTGAGTATATACATATATGTATGCAAATATTTCTTTTTTAATATATGTTTCCTTTGTTTTTGTCCTCTCTTCAAAACAAATTATTTATCACATCTTATCTTAGCTGTAGCAATTAAAAAGAGATCGACTTTGTTCTTATTTATAAAAATAAAAATAAAAAAACTGACAAAGATGATGTTACTGCCCAGGAATGATGTCGTTTCTCTATTGTCATTGTAACCGTATGATGTCGTTTCAACTGCTGTTTACAGAAGGATGTTCTCGTTTAAGATGCGGTTTCTTGTTGTCGTTTCATTATAATCTTGTCGTTCTTATACTTTTTTCCTTTTTTGCTGCAAACGTATTATTGTCTTTGAAAGATGATGTTACTGCCCAGGAATTACGATACTGTACGCTTTAAATCGCTTTCACTTATGGGCTGTCATATTTTTCCTCTGTACTGTACCATTTTTGGAGAGATGATGACGCTTCTTATGTTGTCGTTTCTTCACTCATGATATTGCTCCAGAGAGGTCTTCTGCTCAGCCGACGTCGTTTCTTATAAATCGTTTCCATGAACATGATGCCGTTTCAAAGTGTCGTTTCTGCCAAACAGCAATATTCAATCCATTCGTAGGTAAAGAAATCACCTGGGTCTTGTCTTTCTTTCCATTTTCTCTTTCTTTTAAAGATTTTTGTACAAATGATGTTAGGATTTCTGGATACCCAAAACCTTGAAGTTTTTATTGGAATTTTGCCATGGTTGGCAAAATTTAACCATTAAAAAAAGTGCTCTACAACGAGGGAAAATGAAGAATATTATGCTTTAACAAACATATTAGAAAACAGGCCATACATTCACAATCGTGTTCTGTATCAAAAACCGCTTAACATTTCCAGTAAAAGAAAGAAAGAAAGACATCATACTCAAAAAAAAAAAAAAAAAAAAAAAAAAAAAAAAAAAAGAAAAGGAAAAGAAAGAAACCGAGTTCTCACTATATATTTTCCTTGAAAAAAGTACAGATTAAAAAGTGAACTTCACTCTAAAGTACTTGTGACATATACAAAGCCAAACAACCTATAAACAGAAACGTAACAAATAAGCATGGCATTAGAAGGATGAACCACGGTTGAGCTTCATCCCACAGCCCTTCAGCCCCGCAATTATACCAATCTCCATCGACGCTAACTGTCTGATATTGTCATGTGTAGCAGTACCGGCAGTGTAAGAGAGAGGAAATTTTACATACTTACATGTTACCTTTATGGGAATTCTCCGTTTTGACCAGGTTTTACCCTTGTGTGTGACATTAGCGCTCAGCCCAAATTTAACGTACAAAGATCCTGATCTCCGATGAGCGTGGTGAATGTCATCGTCCCCAATTACCACGTCCCATTCGCCGACCCACAACGACACGTCGTTGAGCCTGAACAGCGCGGTTAATATAGTGCTGCACGACCTGTCGCCGTAGCCGCAGAGCTCCAGTGCCGGCGCGAGAGGGCCCGCTTCAGTGCCAAACGCCGAGGCGGCGAGATGGTCGAAAATCATTCGCTTTTCCGCCCTGTACTTCTGGAGTAGGAAGGTGGCGTCGAAGTCGGCGGTTACGAGGTTGCCGGAGGCGTTGCGGATGGTGGTGGAGACCGACGTGAGCTTGACATAAGGTATGTTTGGGACCTGACAAGCCGCAACGAACGTGACCACGGACGCGGCCAAGGCGGGTAAGGCGGCAACTGAAAGAACTATGAAGATAGTCAAGAAAGCGATCTTCTTGATAATCATGATAATTTCGCAACCAGAGGAAGGATTGGCTGCAGTCGCGGGGGCACCAGGAACAGGTTGATGGCGGATCTCGGTCTCCATTGGTTGATGAAGAAGCCAATAAGGTGAACTAATTGTAAGAGTTTTAAGAGGCGAAAAAGAAATAAGAAAGGAAGAAGTGAAATGGTTGAAGTAGGAGTATAACAAGAGTAGTGGTTTTTGTGGTTAGGCAAAATGTTACTATTTGTGCCAGACTCGTTCATTTTGTCAATTTAAGTTTTTAATTCGAACTAGATATGATTTTATGTGAGAGTTTTTAATTATAACATAATTAGTTAGATGTAATTTTTGGTAAGAGATTTTAACTGTAACAAAACTATAATTAAAAACTCTAATCGGTAAAATGAACGATGCCATAATAATCAATAAAGTTTTTAACAGAACTTTTGGTAAAGAAAGAGTTTCTGATGGACTCAATTGGACCTGGTGCTTTTTCTTTTTTGTTTTTTTTCCCTTCTTCAAATTAATCGTTTAAAAAAAATGTCGTCCGGTTCAGGACTTGTCCGTGAATTCTTCCAATCTCGTATAATCAGCTTATCCGGTTCAAGACTTGGTCCGTGAGTTCTTCCAATCTTGTATAATCAGCTTGTCGGTCAGCAATTCTACTTGGTGAGGGGAAAAAAAAGAATATTAATGATACCTTTTAAATATTTTTTATATTTTTTATTTTTTCTAAGCTGTGTTTAAGAAAAATCATACTATATATATTTTGATGTGTTGTAAATTTACTTCCACATAATAAGTTGTCTTAAATTCTTACTTCCAAATTTTGTATTATAAATTGATGCTTTCTGATTTGGACATCTATCATCTATCTCCCATCTTACACCTTACAAAGCTATTAATTAATTTTCTCCTCTGGCCTTACCTGCTTAATCAGCTAAAACCTATTAAAAGTTAAAAATGTTTTGTTTATTTGGGATTATGTCGTTTGCTTTAATTAGTTCACTGTTGTTTTGTTGTTTTGTTGTTTCGTGAAAATGCTTTGGTTTCTAAATTTTTGGTTTTTGTATGTTGCCATTTTTAGAGTTTTCCTCGTATGTTTTAAGGACAACAATTTTACTCTTTGGTAGAGGCAGAGGTGACTATGGGACTAAAAATCAACCCCTAACTACACATACTCTTTACATATATATGTTGGAGTTTGGATTTAAATTTTAGACTTTAATTTATTATTGTTAAGTTTAAAATTGACGTCAATTTATTTTGATCATAGATTAATAGTTATATAACTTATTTTTCTAATTAATCTAATGATTTTTTTTTAAGGCTTAATAATGTTGCAAGCATTTTTTAAATTCTTAATAGGTAAATTAACAGGGTTTGAAGATAGCTCTCCCAATAAGTACGAAGGACAAAACGAGAATAGGATATAAGAGTCGGAGAAGCACCCCGCGCTGCCCCATTGCTTGGCAATCCCTAATAAGCATTTTGTCGTCTTTGTCCTTTTCACTGACCGTATCGTTTACTGGTACAATGTCGTTCACTCAGTAGGACGTAGTTTGTCGTTTCCAAATCGTCACTGTAAACATATGTTCCTTTTTATCCCTTTTTTTTTAAATGCTGTCGTTTAGGATGCCGTTTCCTGAAATGTTGCTTCATTATTATAAGTTAATAACGTCATTACTTATTATATATTACTTAATAACAAAGCGCCCGTTACATATTATAGTTTTTTGAAAGATGATGTTACTGATTTACGATACTGTCGCTTTAAATTTATTTATGGGCTGGGCTGCCATTGTTTTCCTGTGCATTGTATCATTTTTGGAAAGATGAAGTCGTTTCTAATATGTTGTCGTCTCTTTCATTCATTATATGCGTTTTTTAGTATAATGCAGTTTCATAGAGTCGTTTCTGAGAGAAAAGGTTCTATTCTAATTTCTAACTCGGGAAATTGGGCTAGGTGGCCTCTCATTCCAAAATATTTGTCCACATTTTTTCAAATTTAGGAGAATGATCTACTTTTTTTTTAGTAATTATTTCACATTTTTTAGTAATGATCTACTTTTTTTTTCAAATTAGGATTTCTGGAAAACCGAAACCTTGAAGTTTTCATTGGAATTAGATAATATAACTATTAAAAAGAGCTCTACAATTATGAAAGTTAGGATTATTTATATTCACTAACATATCAGAAAACAAAACATCCATTCACAATCCTTAGTATTCGATACCAAAACCCCCTCAAACATTTGTAGAAAAAGAAAGAAAGACTGGCATTCAGAAACTAAAGACTGGCATTCAGAAACTCAAAACCAGACATTATTCTATGATCTTCTACTCAACATTGACATGGAAAACATCAGACCTCTCATCATCTTTGACCTTAGGCACAACCACTTTGAGCACACCATTCTTCATCTCGGCCTTGATCTGATCAGTCCTGTAGAGCTTCTGCGGCAGATCAATCCTGCTCATGTACCTCCTTGCACTCTCCTGCTCGCCTTGCTCCTTTGCACCTTCGCCTTTGATGATCAGCGTGTTCTGCTCCACCGACACCTTCACGTCCTGTTTGTCCAGCCCCGGCATGTCCACCCGGAGCTGCAGCGCTTCGTCGGTCTCCTTCGCGTCCCATCCGCGGCTGATTCCCGCCCCCAAGCCGCCGCGCGGGGCGGAGAGGAATGGATTCTCCATGAATTGGTCCATCAGGTTCAGGACCTGGCTTAAGCTCCTCGTCGGCGAAAACGGATCAAAAAAATCTGAGTAGATTTCAATCACAGGCTTTAATTAGCACACAATTTTTTTATTTTTTTTATTTGCAGCACAGAACAAACAAGCATAAGTATATTCCAAATCAAATTTTTCTGCTTTATCATGAGTTTAAGGAGTGGATCATCACATTTCTTAAGGAATAAGACTGAAAATATGAATTAACAACAAAAATTTTCTTCTAATTGCATTTCCGACTTAATTTATTCTCACTATTCTCTGCTTTGAGTAGCAGAACCTCATATTTCTGGTGAAGGAAGAAGAAACCGGCTAATGTTTGGCATAAAAGAAAAATTAAAGATCAAACAACGAGAAAGTTGCAGAGAAGGATTAAGATGACGACTACCTGAGAGGAAATCGTCGCGGCCGAGGGGGCGAGAGAGGGAGCGGTCAGATCGGCGATCGACATCGACATCACGGTCGTCGTAGTCGCCTTCGTCGTAGGTGCGCACGGCATTGGTGTTGAAGTACCTGGACGCAGCGGACGGGAGGTTAGCTATGGGGCGAATCGGCGCAGGGATGGACTTCGAGAAGAGGTTGGAGGAGAGGAGGCGCTTGAGAGCAATTGAGGACGCCATTAGAGCGAGCTTGATGAGGAAAGAGAGAGCTTGGTGTTTTGGTGTGTGTGATGGCTCTTTTTTTTTTTTTTTTTTTTTTTTTTTTTTTTGCAGCGTTGTGTGTCTTGGGGAGAAAGTTAGCGGAAGGGGAGGGTTTTTAAGGTGGTAATTGGAAGAGTGTGGAAGGTCCGAGAGAGGCTGGTGTCCAAAAAAATCAGGAATGTTCTAGAACAAGAACGTTCCTTATTCGTTAAAATCTTTATGGATATTTCTCGAAGGACTGCCCATAAGATATTTTTGATGGATTGATGTAACGTGATTTTCTTGCGTGTTATTTTTCTTTTTATAATAAGACGGTTTAGTTTATTAATTTAAGTTAAAATGTAATTTTATATGAAATTTTTTTATTATAATAAAAAAAATTAAATATTTTTTTGTTATAATAAAATTTAAATTTTAAATTTAAATCGGTAAAATAAACGAATATATATTAACTGTTATTTACTACTTTTTCTTTTTTTTTTCTTTTAGGTCAGAAAACATAATTAAGCTCTAAACGTTTCTGACGAATTAAAGTTATTGATAGTTATCTATTTTTTAATAGTTAAATATGTTAAATATGCACGAAAAATTATTTATTATACATGATTTTAAGTCTTTTACTTTGAAAAATATTTCTTGTCGTTCCTATATCATGATGTCGTTTTCTTGGTTTGGTCGTTTAACATATAATCATTTCTGAGCTTTTTTTTTGTGTTGTTTTCATGCTGTCACTCTTTTTCTAGTTCCTTTAGGTTTTCAAAAGTCTTTTTTGGTCGTTTGATAATTTAAAGTTGTTTCTACTTATATTGTATCTTTTTGAATAATTATTCTACCATTTTCACGTTATTATTTTAAAATTTAATGTTCTTTTGCTTGTTGTTGTCGTTTTAATTCTGACCATTTTAAAGTCGCGGTCTTTTCATGTTTATCGTCTTGATGGATGAAGTCGTTACTGCAATTCGTTGTCGTTTATTAGTTTTCTCGTCACCTGTATTTTGTTCACTTATATCTTTAAGATGTTGTTCGTTGATGTTCGATGTTGTTTTCTTTACTTGTCATAATCAACATTTTCATCATTTCAAAACTATTAAGTTACCATCGTTTCCTTTTGTTCTTAAAAAAAGGTACCATTTTTATCCACTTGATGTGGTAAGCTGAGTAGAGAAGCAAGAATGGGCCGGCTCGGCCGGTCCCGTTCTCCTTAGGCCCACGCGGGCCGCGGGTCGGGCCGGCCCAACCCACGAATTTTGTGGACCGGCCCGTATAAGAATGACTTCGGCCCAGCCCACACCACATGCTAATTTTACGTGGGTCAGGCTGGGTCGTGCCACGGGCCAGGCTGGGCCGTGCCCCGGGTCAGGATGGACCGTGCCATAGGTCTTGAATGGGCTGGCCCACTCAAGGCCCATCTTAACCCATCATGGGTTTAGATGGTCAGCCCATCTAATACAATTTTTTATTTTTTATTTTTAAACAAGTTAATAAATATATAAGTTTGAATAGTCAATAGAAATATGAAAAGAGATATTTTATTTACGATTATCTCATTAAATAAACAACTTTATAAGAAAAATTCAGTGGGACAAAGCCTTGATAAGAAAAAAAGAGTACAATCATGATAATTATTCATAAGATGTTGACAAAATTACTAAAAAAAGAAAAAAAACATGAAAATATTATGGGCCTAGATGGGTTGGGCTGGGCCGGCCCATTATGGGCCTAGACGGGCCGGGCTCGGCCGGTCCATCATGGGCCTAGACGGGCTGGCCCAGCCTGGCCCATGATTTTTCATGGGCCGATATATGTTGGCCCAGCCCAGTTCACTAATATTTATGGGCTGAGTCGTGCCTTAAACAGTGACAGCCGTACCGGCCCAGCCTATCATTGTGTCAGGATGGGCCCGGGCCAGCCCCGACCTATTGTTGCATCTCTTAAAGCTGAGTTGTTATGTAATATGTATGGAGCTCTTGTTCTTCGTATCTCCTTGCTTTTAATTTGTTGTTCTGCTATATCCCAAGATAGTGTCGTTTGATATATGTTGCTACTGTCCCAACGACTTGAAACAAGGAATCAATACAATGAAAGCAGCTCACCCACTAAAACACCAATTATTGCTAAAGATATTTTTAGTTAATTTAATCTAACCTCGTTTCTACATACATTGTCTTTTGGGTGTGTGTATTTTCTGTCATTTCATAAAGATTTTTTTTTTTTTTGTCGTTGTCGGTTTTATGTTATTTATTTTATGTTTGTCGTTTTTGGTTATTGTAGTTTTCTAATTTTGAGGTCGTTTATAATCAAGTGTTTATTTTCCCTGCATCTTGGAGATCGTTGCTTCATGTATTTGGACTTTTGAGCTATTGCCAGCTCTATTTTGTTTATAATTTACATAATTTATTCTTGACTTCTTGTTTGTTAATGTTGTATTTTACGTCGTTTTTGTACATTTCGTATTTGATGGTTATTACTTTTCTTTTTACCAAGTAATGCGGTAAAATTAGCTGCTATGTAACAATACCCTTTTCTTCATATCTTTTTTTTTCTTGTTCTTCATATCTTTTTTCTTAAAATTAGCTGCTATGTAACAATACCCTTTTCTTCATATCTTTTTTTTTTCTTGTTCTTCATATCTTTTTTCTTTTTTTTTTTGTTCTTCATATCTTGTTGTTTTAAGATGCTAAAACGCTTCCCTTAAAGAAATGCTAGTATGCTAAGTTTTACTTATATCTAATGCCGTTTTCACGATATGATGTCGTTTATTTGGATTCCACACCGTTGGTATTTTCCTCGTTAGTTTAAAATTATCGTTGTTGTAACTTTACGTCGTATAAGTGTCTGTTTGTCGCTTTACCAACGTGTTATCGTTCTTATTGTCGCTTTAATGGGTTGCGATCTTTTCCTTTTATTATGTCGTTTAACAGATGATGTCGTTTTCAAGATGCCCTCGGTTTCCTTTTATTATGATGTCATAAGGATGGGAATGTGAATATTTCAGATTCTCATGTTTGGTACAATTATTATACTTTTTTAAAACTTAGGAAAGTGAAGCCCATGGGTTTCACATTACCCCATTTTGGGGTAATCCTAATCCCACCCAATAAGGTGTTATTCAAATTTTCAAGAATCTCAAAATCATGGGAATCTCATAATAATAATAATAATAATATATTATTATTATTATTATTATTATTATAATTATAATAATAGTAATAATAATTATAATAATAATAGTAGTAATAATATTAATAATTATAATTATAATTATAATTATAATAATTTTATTATTTTTATTATTATTATTATTATTCATTTAAAAAAATATTTTTTAATTCACAACATTCTCATGCACAATCAAACACAGTAATGTAATATTCCTAGGAATTTGAAAAAGATTTCTGTATAGAACCAAACACAATAATGTATTATTCCTAGGAATCATATTACCCTCCATCACTTTCCTGGGAATATGATTCCTTATGATTATCCCATACCAAACACCCCCCAGTGCCATTGTTTTTAAATAACTGTCGTTCCATTCCATTTCTTCATTCTCGGCTTAAACATTTTCTTATTTGCATAACCCGCCCTAATGTTTAAGATACTTCACTTCCACCCCTCTCCTTCACAAACATACTTCCACCAGGCCGAGATCTTTGTAAAAATAACTCTTTTAAAAATTTTTATTAGTAAAATAACTTCTTAAAAATTTTTATTTATAAAATGACCTCATTTTATAAAAAATAAATAAATATCTTTCTTCATAAAAAATAAAAAAATGTCCTTTTATTAATTTCACTCGGTTGGAAAATCAGCATATTGCCCCTTCTCCACCAGCCCATGCTTCGGCAACTCCATTTCCCAACCGTCACAATATAACAACATAGCGGATCTCCGAACCAGCCCGAGTTAAGTCATCGAATCCCGAGCCAACTCGGGAGCCAAGAACGATGCTGGATCTAGGTCCGTTCTCAGGAGAGAACTTCGAGCCGAAGAAATGGATAAACTCGGCATGCCAGAGTCGGCACCCGGAGGAGTCGGTGGACAAGCACCTGGTGGATCTGGAGATGAAGCTCCAGATGGTCTCCGAGGAGATCTCCGCCTCCCTCGAGGAGCAGAGCGCCGCCGCCCTCCTCCGCGTCCCGCGTGCCACCCGCGACGTCATCCGCCTTCGCGACGACGCTGTCTCGCTCCGCTCCGCCGTCGCCAGCATTCTCCAGAAGCTCAAGAAGGTACCTTCTCGATCTGTTTATACTGTTCGTTCGTTGAATTTGGAGGAATTTAGGCTGGCGATTGTCGGAACTTGAAATTTGGTATTCCCGGAATGCTCGTTTGTTTGGTTACTAGAGACAATGCGAGAAATTGGAGAGATTTGCGCTGAAATATTTTCAATGTTAGTTTTTCTATATTCGGCAATGAAGATTATAGCAAAAAGTATAGCAAAAAGTCACTCTTTAGTTCATTACAAGCTTCAAATTTTACATACTTTGATCAAATTTTCCTATCTCTCTGTCAAACGTTTTGGTCGGATCTGCAGGCTGAAGGATCATCCGCTGAATCCATAGCTGCCCTAGCAAAGGTTGACACTGTTAAGCAGAGAATGGAAGCTGCATATGAGACATTGCAGGTGGGTATATTTGTTGAACTAATTAATTTCGCACATGTGTGGATCGTGTGTTTAGGTCAGGAATTGTGATGTTTCATTTGAAATAATCATCTTATATGATTCAACAGGATGCTGCTGGGTTAACCCAATTGAGTTCGACGGTGGAGGATGTCTTTGCTAGTGGTGATCTTCCGCGGGCAGCAGAAACCTTAGCCAACATGAGACATTGCTTGTCTGCTGTCGGGGAGGTACTGTTTTTACCCAGCGTACTTTTACATTATAAACCTCACTTGATATTCTTCAATTTTCACGTTTTGGTTGGTTACTACTTTCTTTATTGTTTTTTGTGGAATTGTTGTAGGTGGCTGAATTTGCAAACGTGAGGAAGCAACTTGAGGTCCTAGAGGATAGGCTAGATGCAATGGTGCAGCCACGACTAACAGATGCAATATCTGGTCGTAAGGTCATAAAATCTATTGAAATACTTCATTTGCTTTTGGGTTGAGTTCTATTATATGCATTGATTCTGAACTCCTTTTGGTACACATGATAAGGTTGATGTTGCTCAAAATCTGCGGGGCATTCTTATCCGAATTGGGAGATTCAAGTCACTGGAGATACATTACACAAAAGTTCACCTAAAGCCTATAAAACAGTTGTGGGAAGATTTCAACTCAAAACAACGCAATAGGCTTGCAAATGAGAAGGCTGAAGTTGAAAGGCTATCAAGCAACATTCAATCAAGTTCTCCAACAATTTCGTTCTCTAGTTGGTTGCCAAGCTTCTATGATGAATTGCTTCTTTATCTTGAGCAAGAATGGAAATGGTAAACTCTTCAGACTTTTGGACGCCAAATATGTTGTTAATATTTTTCATTAATATTTACATCTTGTTGATACAAGGAAACTATCACAGAATTTATTCACTCTCAGACTATCACCTGCAGGTGTACAGTTGCTTTTCCTGAGGATTATAGAACTCTTGTACCAAAGCTGCTGATCGAGACAATGGCTACTATTGGCGCAAGTTTTGTTTCTCGTATTAACCTTTCAACTGGAGATGTTGTTCCTGAAACAAAAGCATTGGGAAAAGGTAGGGCTCACTTGTTTTAGGGTCCTTCGAAATTACGTTCAGCTCTATGATTTTCACTAGGGAGAGATCCTTAAATCATGTAATGTTATTTGGCTTCAGGTATATTAGATATTCTGTCAGGCGATATGCCAAAGGGAATTAAGATTCAGAGGAAACATTTGGAGGCGTTGATTGAGTTACACAATGTGACACAGACCTTTGCAAGAAATATTCAGCATTTATTTTCAGACTCTGAGCTCCGAGTTTTAATGGATACTCTTAAGGCAGTATACTTGCCCTATGACTCATTTAAACAAAGGTGGGAGGTCTTAATTGTTGTTATGTATACATATATCATTCAGTTTTTAGTGTTTTATATATACATTATCCTGTTTTTTTTTTTTTTTTGATATAATGAGAACTTTTCTTCAGTGACTGTTACTTTGAAGCGCTGGATTCTTCACCTTCTTTCTTCTTCTTTTTTTTTTTCCTCTGACTGATGATTGAAGTGTTTTTCAGGTATGGACAGATGGAAAGGGCTATCCTATCCTCTGAAATTGCTGGGGTTGATTTAAGAGGTGCTGTTACTCGTGGTGTGGGTGCTCAGGGGATTGAACTCAGTGAAACAGTGCGCAGAATGGAGGAATCCATTCCCCAAATTATCATACTACTTGAAGCTGCTGTTGAGAGGTGTATCAATTTTACGGGTGGTTCTGAGGCAGATGAACTAATTCTCGCTCTTGACGACATAATGTTACAATATATCTCTGCTTTGCAAGAGACACTGAAATCATTAAGAGTTGTCTGCGGAGTGGACCATGGTAGTGATGGTGTTGGTTCAAAGAAAGAGACAGATTTGGACAAGAAAGAAGGAAGCAAAGCTGCACGCAAAGTTGACTCAACTTCAAATGAGGAAGAATGGTCCATTGTCCAAGGAGCTCTGCAGATCCTCACGGTTTCTGATTGTTTAACTAGCAGGTCCTCCGTTTTTGAAGCTTCCTTGAGGGCTACTCTTGCTAGGTTAAGCACTACTTTATCTCTTTCAGTATTTGGCTCAAGTGCGGACCAAAGCCTGTCACATGTTGGTGAGGGCAACGGGGAAGCATCTGTGGGTGGAAGGGCTGCCTTGGATGTGGCAGCCGTGCGACTTGTTGATGTTCCTGAGAAGGCTCGAAAACTCTTTAATCTTTTAAATCAGGTACTGGCAATTTATATTTCAAACTTAAACACACCTCGCTCTCTTATGCATTATCCTTTTACTAATATATGTGAAAAAATTTCATAAGACTATCTGCAATGAAAGTGCTAATGCTATATATGACACAAAAGTGTAAAAATGACATATTTCGTATGTTGTTCTATTTTGTGCAACAATGCATAATGCTATGTTAAACGGTACATCTATTTCTTTCTCATAAATTCAAAGTTTTGGAACTTGTAAAAGGAGAATTTTTAATTCTTATAGAATTTTAAAATAGGACTGTTATCATTAATTAATTATTACGCAGAAAAATCAAACACATCAACCAATGAGCAAGAGCAACCAAATGTTGGAATTTGGCATTTGTTATACTTGGTGCTAAATTTGGCATATTGACATCTAAGTGAGAACATGCCGAATTTGATATTAAGTATAGCATTACACTGGAGTGACTTGCTTATCCAAAATTCCAAAGGTTGAATTTTGGCATTAGCATGGAAATTTGGCATTGCATTTAGCTGCCTTAGAACACCTTTTGATTTATAACAGTTTTGCTATTTACTTTAACACGTACGGTAAAACTAGGAAGAACATGCTGGACAGCCTGAGAAAACAAGAACGTCAAAGTTCTTAGCTCCCAACGATAGATGTGGATAAATACAGGGTCAACTTGGGTGGTTTTGTCTTTGGTCTCTGTATTGGCCGTGCTCTCTCTGCAAGTAAATATCTTGCTTGACCCCCTCTTATTATTTAACTAATGTTATTTTAAAATTTTGTGCAGTCTAAAGATCCCAGGTTTCATGCACTTCCAGTGGCATCTCAGAGAGTGGCAGCATTTTCCGACACAGTGAATGAACTTGTATATGATGTCCTCATTTCTAAAGTACGGCAACGTCTCAGTGATGTTTCTCATTTGCCAATATGGTCCGCAGTTGAGGAGCAAAGTGCTTTTCCTCTCCCAAGCTTCAGTGCATATCCTCAGGCCTATGTTACAAGTGTCGGTGAATATCTTCTTACTTTACCCCAACAGTTGGAGCCACTTGCGGAGGGCATCTCAAACAATGATGCCAACAATGATGAGGCCCAGTTCTTTGCAACTGAATGGATGTTTAAGGTATAGGCCTATGCACTAACAAGAAGATCCTCGTTTTTCAACCATGCGTCTCTCTAACATATAGCCGTTGTTTAACTCAATTTAGCTGGATCGTATCCTGATCTTCCAAAGTTCTTTTGCTATCATAGATTGTGTGCTAAGTTTCTAGTTTACAACCATAACTATTCATACGTATGCCTTAGAAAAATGAATATCTGTTTCTTTTTGTGTACTGAAGGTTGCAGAGGGAGCCACTGCTCTTTACATGGAACAATTGCGGGGTATACAGTACATAACAGATCGTGGTGCGCAGCAGCTATCAGTTGACATTGAGTATCTGAGCAATGTGCTTTCTGCCTTATCAATGCCAATTCCGCCAGTTCTTGCCACATTCCATACTTGCCTTTCCACCTCCAGAGACGAGCTGAAAGAGCTTGTCAAATCAGATTCAGGAAATCAGCTCGATCTTCCGACAGCAAACCTTGTATGTAAGATGCGCCGTGTGAGTTTAGATTAATAATTTTGACTTTGGACTTGGGAGTATATTGTTTCCCACCATAGCACATTATGTTGCATCCCCAAAATATAACCTCATTTCACTTATTTTACACCTGTTCTTTATAATGCCAAGTTTTTTCAATCAAGAATTTCCGGTCCCGACACAACCCATTTCAGTAGCCTTATGTTCTTTTTACCCATTAAAGTATACCGTGAAAGCCGCAGGTTGCAAGTGCATAATACCTTCTACTTCGAAAACAAAGTTTTTTTTAAGTCTCATGAACCAGAAGCAACTTATAATGTGAAAAGTGTTTGTATTTGGGATGTAGCTCCCGCTGTGGCTATAGCCATTTCCTTGATAGTCAATAAATTACAACTTTTCAGAAAAAAAAAAAAAAAAAAAAAAAAAAAAAAAAAAAAAAACTTTTAAAAAAAAAAAAAAAAAAAAAAAAAAGAAAAAAAGAAGAAAACCTTGTAATACGAAAATGCGAAATGTTCTGCACCTATTAATAACAAAATTACATGTATCGTCCAAGCCAATTTCAGTTGCATTTTGTTTCCCAATTTCCATACAGTTGTGGAAGCTGATTAGTAATTGTTTCCCTGCACAAACGATTCCTTAGTACGAGACTCTGTAACATTCTTAACCACCTAAATCTAACCATCAGGTTTCATTCAGAATTTACTACCTTTGCTTCAAACTTGAAAGTTGCACTATGTTGCAGTTTATGATTTAAATGATTACCTCCAGCACCAAGAATTGCATGTACAACGCAGAACACATTGCGAAAGTGCATCATCCAAGTTCCAGACCACCAGAATTTCTTGCCCGCAGAAGTGACATTTCTGTTTTAAAGTCACTCTTAAATGGAATCAAATAATAACCTGCATTTGCATGGATCGTCCTGAATTTCAAATTTTCAACTCCAAAATTTACCTCTACAGCCTGACCGTATCCCACTTCTTGTGCATTTTACCTTTTCGTATTGCCAATTTGTGAGCATTATAACGCCTAGCCCGTTCCCTTGGATTAAATTCCACATACTGATGAAATGCCATAGATCCTCATCATCGGCCAAAAAAAAAAAAGATGGATAAAATGCCATGCCAATTTACCAAAGCGTTTGCAACAATTAAGTTGAAAGTAATGCTACAGATCCCAAGTCGTCTCCCAAACTTTACTTAAGTGATGTGCCAAATGAGTTGTTACTTGCTACATCATTTAGTACTCATAGTTTGGTAGTAGACTCTAGATCCCCTAGCATTATTCATAGGTTAATATTGAAAAAACAAGAGACTACTTAGTTTTTTTTTTCCCCCCCTTGGACTGAATTTGGATCCCTGATGCAAGAATATCAAGCAAAGATGAGATTTACATGTTACCTCACAAAATGAAAACACTACCTCTCCAGCCGTTGTCTCATGCATTCATAGTTTCATACATATGAAGTCGGATGTATACAATATGAGGGCAAAAAAGGTAGCCAACATTGAACCCCCCAAGAATATGGGGCCCTGGACTCTGAAAACAATGTTTCAGAGAAATGCATATAAAGGATAAAAGGTACTTCAAGCATTGTCGAAAATAGATTGTAAGAGGAGTCGCAACAATAAGATAATACCTACCTCAACCCTTTTCTCCTTTAACAATATTGACGAAAGGGAGATGATATATTGTCAAGAAAGCTGTGGGAATAGGGAAAAAAAATTTCACCCATGATGACAGTAATTCAAAGCTCCAAACACATATGTTAAAATTTTGAGATTAAAAATCTACCTCATTAAATTTCAAAGCTCAGACATCTATCTACATTTCACTAATATGGGTGAACTGGACTTCTAGATGACCTCCTGTGTCCATGCCTAACAGGGGAGCGTGACCTGCTCCGGTCCCTGTGCCTGTCCCTAGCTCCATCTCTTCCATTTCTGTATCTCCAATCCACCCCTCTTCCTCCATCCCGACTACTTCTACCATTCCAATCTCGATGCCTTTCACGATCTGAGTCCCGATCTCGGTATCTGTCTCGCTCTCGATCATGATGCCTGTCTCTATCACCTGAATCACTTCTTTTCCTTCTACTCTCTGGCTCCTTCTCCCTCTGCTTCTTTCGCTCTTCTGCTTCTTTTTCCCTAGCTAATCTTTCTTCTTCCCTCGCTTTCTCCTTAGCTTCCTGGAAATCAATAATTTCCTCTTTTTATTAACCAGCAGGAAAAAAAAAAACAAGATTTATAAATAATTTACTCTAGGAAGGAAGAATTACCTTGTACTCAGTAATGAAATCGCGAACCATGCCATATCCAATATGCTGCTTCCCAGTAATATGAGACTGGGTCCTCTCTGCAGCATCATTGGCTACAAGAAAAGAACCACAAATCTCACAGAGGGCCATCTTCTTCTCCTGTGCAAGCATCAATACTTTATCAGGCTGGGGCTGTTGTGTCAAGGTTGTCTTCTCAGCATTAAGCGCATCAACCTTTCTCATCAATGCTTCAGCTTCGTCCACCTTCCCAGCTTCACCAAGAGCTTCCACTTGTTCTAGCAAGTTCTTAATCTTTTCCTCCAGTACAGATAACTGTTCAGACTTTTCAGATGACAAGGGAGGTGGAGGTGCAGGTTCCACCTCTTGAGCAAGTCGTTCTCGTCCACGCCGTACTCGTCTGTCCAAATCCATCACCTACAAATCATGATGCAAAAATAGTGATGTCACCAAAGAAATAAAATAGAACGCACAAATCATGATTTTTTTTTTTTAAATGTCACCAAAGAAATAAAATAGAACGCACAAATCATGATTTTTTTTTTTTTTTAAAAAAAAAAAAGGAGTGCATCCTACCAATTTCTCACAAAACTGAGCAAGTTCAGCTTCAAATTTGGGTACATATGCATCATGCCTCGGGGACTTCTCGAAACTGAAATCACAAACGTGAAGAAACACATTAAAACTGGAAGGGAAGAAATATAGAGAAGTTTTGTGCAAAATAAAGATTGTGCAAGTTTTGAGCGGAGAAAGCCACCAAATTATCAAAGATAAATGAATTAAAACCTAAGATATAAATTTCCCTATACTTTCAACTATGACATTCATATGTGTGAATTCAAAGATCTGTCTCAAAAACAAAGCGTAGGAATACAAGGCATGTTAATATTCCAACCAACAATAAATATCTACAAGTAGTTCGTATCTTAGGCATATAAATACAAAGATATTCAACATTTGTCATAAAAGAAATAGATTATTCCATACTTGTTAATGACAGAATGAAGTGGAGCAATTACAAATGATATAATAAAACAATAGACAAGATGCCTTAGTCAGCCGCCATTACTTCTTTTTGAATGGCAGAAACTCTGAATTACACAGTGCAAAAACGCATTCACATAAATGTATCGAAACCTTATACAGAATGTTCTCAAAACACATCATATCATTTATCAATCACCTTTCTTTCAACTTCTGATCGTGTATTCTGGGGCATGGTCGGAAAAAAAAAAAAAAAAAAAAAAAAAAAAGTAAACAAAACAGTTAGAGAAATCTTGCACTTGTCAAGAATGACTAAACTACAAACACAATTCCCAAAAATCAATACAGAAAATTTATCCAGAAATTCAAAGTCAGGCTCTTTTTTTTTTTTCCTAGCTTTATCTGCAACCAAATAAAGGCTTTGAATAATTGGAAATCAATAAGAAATAAACATATAACTCACCTAAGTCACTCCGGGTGTTGACAAAGAGATCATGGGGACAAAATCGAACCATATAGGCTCCACAAACCTCCTTATCATCCCAACTAACTTCTCTGTAACCTTTTCTCTCTTCCTCCGTCAAATTCCGAGCTGAATTTTCATCAAACCAAGCCAACCCAAGAAATTAAATAATAATATCAAATCAGATTGGTTCAAATGATTTGGGGAAAAAAATTCTTTTTCTTTGTTAATGGAGAACCTCATTATCAGAATGGGATTAAAGAGCGAATAAATACGTAATTTTGCGAAGCAACAACATAGTTAGGGTTTGATTGGGAAATACCTGCACCCATGAGTTCGTCCAGCAGAGCTCTCTGAGCATCCATGGCGATGGCGAATAAAGATTTCGAACTGAAAATGCAAAGAAAATTAAGAAACCGAAAAGGAAAAATCCCTAATTTAAGATGCGAAGAACGAAATTGAGAGCGAATTTGAGGGAATGGATAAAAGGAGAAGGCCTTCAAGGATTGGAGACGGAGAGTGGTCCCTTGGGATCTTCTACTTAGGCCTTGCTAGGGTTTGGTCTGAAACAGTAAACGCTTGGTGACTTCAACGAAGAAAGAAGAGCAACAACAAATAAGTTGGAAACTCCTCTTTTTTTTTTTCTTTTTTTTTTCTTTTTTTTTTTTTTGGAATTTTAATCTTTATTTGATTTCATGCTCCGGATGCTGTCGTTTCAGGGTGATCCAGTTTTCATGAGTTTGTGACCTTTTATACAGGTGTCGTTTTTTATTCCTAGATTTTGGCGTTTCCTCGGTGTTGTCGTATGCTTATGACCTTGTCGTTTTATAAAATGACCTTTTTTTTCTTTTCTTATAAAATTATCAAAAGGTTCATTTTTTGCGACGAAACTCAGAAAAATTTGAACTCGAATTATAATTTTATTTAAGTTTATATTTTTTTTATAAAATTTGAGTTTAAACTCGAGTTTAGGGCTAAATTCGAGTTTAAGTTTATCTTTCAACTCGAGTTCATAAACTCGAACTCAAATTAATTAACAGTATTTTTTCTATTCTTAAAAATGTCATAACTTTTTTCGTTTTAATTCTGATTGACATTATTTTTTTCTATGCATTCACAACAAAAGACGAATAAAACCATACCTATATACCCTATTAAAATTTTTCATCACCATTGAGTTTTTATTAAAATACTATCTAAATATAAATTTAAGTTTTGACCCACCCAAACACAAACTCAAATAGATTCTCAATTCAAATCACAACTCAAATATGTACATTCAAACACAAACTCAAGTTACAATTTTAACTCAAGCTATAACTCAAACTCAACTCAAAATCATCACTCAAGTCACCCTAACTAAAAAATACAAAAGAACAACCCCTAATTTTTGTGAAAAGAGTAGTTTGGATATTCTATGACCCAAAAAACAAACTTAAGATGTCAAAATGACGTTTTTAAAAAAACGCTAAAGTATCATTTTTTTAATCAATGCTAAAGTACCTTTTTAGTATTATAAAAAACCACAAAATAACAAAATAATGTTTTCAAATAACACAAGCTTAATTATTCCTGCGAATATAACATAGTTCGACAGGAAATTATATAGCATGGCAAAAAGAAACGCCCTTAGATTTCGTTAGATTTACATTTCATTGAGCAATTCTCTATAAATATATGATGTGACATGTGACAGTTTTATACACCAAACGACAGAATTCAATTTAGGGCAAATTACATTTGTCCTCCTCAATTGTTGTCCTTTTAACAAAATGCTTCCTAAAGTTTAAAAATAACAAATTTTTCTCCTGAATAATTTGTCGTTAACACGCGTCCTCCTTTTCATCTCTCTATGTTAAAATTTGAACGTTAAGTGTCACGTTAGTGGAATGTAACTCTCATTTTAAGGGTAAATAAGTAATTTTCCCTTGAATAAAATTTTGGTAGAAATAAGTATTTTTCAATGTTTAAAATAAAAAACATAATATTAAAAAAATAAAAAAGGAAAAGCTCTCTCTCTCTAGTCCTCGCGCAATCCCCACCCACGCGATCCACCTCCCGCGAGCCCCCTCCGCGCGAGCCCAAATCTGCAGCCACCGACCCCACCTGCGTGATCCACCTCCGACAAGGCCAGATCTACAGCCACCGACCCCACCCACGCAACCCACCTCCGACAAGCCCGAATATGCAGCCATCGACCCACCCGCTCCGGTAGAGTCTGACCTCCTTCCCTCGCTCGCTCGATTCATGCTGACGCCTTTGCTCGCGGATCAACATCCCCAAATCTTCGCCATAATCAGCGTTTTTGAGCATCGATCACATTGAAAATTAAATGCAAAATCGTCATGAATCAAGTTCCAAACAACGTTTTTGGTAGATTTGGGTTTCAAGGGCAAAATTGACATTTCATAATAGAATAAAAATTAAATGCCTCAGCGACTTTCACGTGTTACTTAACATTTAAAATTTAATTAAGGGGACAGAAAAGGGGAACGCGTGCTAACAGCGAATTGTTCATGGTGAAAATTTATTATTTTCAAACTTTAAAGGGCATTTTATTAGAAGGCCAATAATTCAGGGGGGACAAGTGTTATTTGTCCTTCAATTTAATATCATAACAAGAAAATTATTCAATTGAATGGCATGTTGTCAAACCTACTTCAGTTCAACCAAGTTATTGGGAAAAAAAAACTAAGTTCAAATTATAAATAAGAAAAAAAAAACGTTTCATATATTATGGACTTGAAAAAAAAAAAACAATATCGACGTGTCGTTTTAAATTAGACGAAAAAATCAGGTTTGAATGACACAACAATAGGAAACTTTGAACTAATTAAAACGTGTCGTTTGATTCATAGTTTTTGAGGTTTATGAGTAAAACGATAATAAAACTTTCCTACATATAAACGACACGTCGTCAAGTACAATAACATATTGTGGACAAAGAATAGGGGACACGTGACATAAATAGTATTAAGGTCTAGTTAGTTTAAATCATAACTCGAGTTTTTGTTACAGTGTTTTTTCTTATAAAAGTTTAAATTCAACTTTTTCACTAGTGTTTTTTCTCTCATATAAATTCACTTTTTAACTAAAATTCTCAATACAAACGAGCGAAACAAACTAGACTCTACTCTATACACATCTCGTCTCCCTTCTAATTTCAATGCATTCTAATTTATCCGAGTCAACTTATAATTAGAAATAGTACTTCAATTTGCAAGCAGATCACCCCACAGTGAGAAATAACCAGTTCTTTTCGATCCCTACTAATAACCGTGATAAAAAAAAAAATGATAAAATGCCATGGAACTTGTAAAATATGAACTTCTTCCACTTATATGCGGTTGTAGGCATAGGTAACAGCAATTTTATACCTAAAGATATAGAGCTCAAATCTCCACCTTCAAGTTTTTTTTTTCCCCTATAAAAAAGTCTTCGTATATAATCACTACACGTGGTGATATCATGAGAGCTCCTATATCTGCAAAAAAAGACACAGAAAACTCAGCCGATTGTATTGGAAACTTTGGACCAAATTAAAAATATGCAAAACAAAACCAATGACACAATAAACTACTGGTGGAAAGTGGCCTAAAAAGGTCCAACACAAGCTTCTCAACTATCACACTTCCTACTACGCATTATCCAAAAACACCTGTTTTTGTGGCTCTCCTTCCCTTTTTTCCTTCTAATAATAACACTCTCTTTAGTCTTTATTACGTATTCTCTCTCAAAACAAAACAAAAGGCACTTCTTCTTCTTCATCATCAACCACAAAACAGACGATAACAATCAAAACCATGAACGACACAGTGGACAAGTTGGTGGTCTTCTTGGCAAAGCGAGATGGCATCGACAAGCTCGTCAAGACCTTCCAATACGTCTCGAAGCTAGTCCACTGGCACGTCGAGGCCACCAACCCCGGCGTGGCTCAGCGAGCCAAGCAATGGGAGGTCGCGTCCGGGCTCAGCCGCAAGGCCTTTCGCAGCGGCCGCTTCCTCACCGGCTTCAACGCCCTCCGACGAAACCCGGGCAACACCCCAGGTTTCCGGTTCTTGGCCGTCCTCGCAAACGCCGGCGAAATGGTCTACTTCTTCTTCGACCACATTCTGTGGCTGTCGAGGATTGGGACTCTGGACGCCAAGTGGGCGAAGAAGATGAGCTTTGTGTCGGCGTTCGGTGAGTCTTTTGGCTACGTTTTCTTCATAATATCCGACTTCATTTTAATCAAGCAGGGAATACAGACCGAGAGAAAGCTTGTTCATGGTTTGGATAATAAGGAAGATAATAAAGATGTGAGTGAGAGAATAAGGAAGATTAAGGTGGATAGAGTTATGAGATTAATGGCGGTGGCGGCTAATGTTGCGGATTTGATAATTGCTTTGGCTGAAATTGAGCCTAATCCTTTCTGTAATCATGCTGTTACTCTTGGAATTAGTGGGTTGGTCTCTGCTTGGGGTGGTTGGTACAGGAATTGGCCCTCTTAAACAAAATAAAAAAGGGAAATTAATTTGAACTCGTTTTATAAGGAGTATTACTTTCTCAAATTTTGACGTGTTTGATATATATTAATTAAGAGCTTCCTTGCGATCTGATGAATGACTTCCACCACAAACCACAGTCCAATATGCAATTATGCAGATGTTTATGTGCGCGGGGATGGTGTATGTCAATAAATATACTGTTTCCCTTCTTGGCTTGTTCCTTAAGTTGGTTTATGTTAAGAGCTTTATGGATTACTTTGAAACTTTTAATGGCAGTAGAGTAGTGTAAGAGCTTAAACTGGAAAACGGATTGAAGATAAGCAAAGGGGGAAAAAAAAGTATACAATTAGTTCTCTAACAAATGAAAGTTCCTTTCTTTATATTCTTCCTTTTTTTTTGTTGTAAATTTTTGTTTTCCTTATCTTTCTCCCGTCCGCAATGGTAATGGACTACCACATACATATTCAATATTCTTTTGCCCGGGTCTTTTTTCTTTTTTTCTAAAAAGCAATAAAAGTAAATATTAGTCACGAACCTCAAGTCACCCTACTTTTTTCCTTTTCCCTATTTCTTCGGTAAGAAAAAAAAATCCAGCTCCAAAATTTTTATGATAATTAACGAAATCCATTAAAAAAAACAATAAAAGAAACGAAACGGCAATATCTATGAGAAACGACAATTACTTTAGAAAGCCGAAGAAGATGACAACTCTCTTGCAATGAATAATATGTTCAAAACGACACGATTTTTAAAACGAGAAAATCATACAAACGACGACTTACAAAAGGACCGTTCCAATTCAAATTTAAAACGACAATAAGTTCAGAAAGAACAAGGAAAACGAGAATAGCCGGAAGAACGAAAAGACCTACTGGCTACTGCAAATGACCAAACCTATGAATGACAATATCTCAAAAATAACAGAAATGAAAAGGACGATAAATTTTAATAAATAAGGATAAATTAGCTTAGGAAAACGACAATGTATTTTTAATAACGATATTGATTTTAGATAAGGACAGCACGTTACTTAAAAGAACGACAAATATGTATAAACGATGTTAGCTTAGTAAGACGACAACTCCTTCACGATGTCATATATCTAAAGCAAAATCATTTCAAAGAAAGCGACAATGCCTATTGAAAACGGCAGCAATGTAGAAAAGAGTTGGGAAATACAGTAACTAGAAGGACGAAAAATCTGCTACAAATAACGACCTTTAGAAAAAAAAAAATACTAAAAAGACTGCAAATATTTTTTTATAAAATAAAATTTATAAAAAATAAAGAACGATTAGCTTAGGAAGATCAGAATATCTTCTAACACGACAATAATTTTAGGAAACAGAAACATATATGAAACATAAAAAACGCTCCTTAAAAAACCTTCAGAAAAAGACAAAGATATATGTAGACGGCATTAGCTTATGACGACATCACCTCTCTCACAAACGACAATATCTAAAACGACAAAATAATAATCTGGCAAGTGGCAACAGTTATTAAAATACAATATCTGCTTAGAAAGATAAAGTTTGAAACGAATGAATAAAAACGACGATAAGTTGAAAAGGAAAAGAAATATGAACAATATATAATAACAATTAAGAACTTAAGGGAGGAACGACAATAACTTTCAGCAAAAAAAAAAAAAAAAAAAAAAAAAAAAAAAAAAAAAAACTATAATAATTACTTAAGGATCTACGGAAATACAGAACTTTGGAATCGACAATATCCCGAAAACGACAAAAATTTACGATTGTTAATGTTTAATGTTTTCAAATAAACTTAGGAATCAACAATATCCAAAAAAAAAAAACGACAAAAAATTACAAATATTACACGAACAATATTTTCAAACGACAGCAATGTGGATAAATTTTTTACCAAAAAATACAGGAGAAAATAGAAACACTTTTTTAATGACAATGTGTTATTCATTGTGAAAGGTAAATTTATTGAATAATATTGCTGAATAAATTTTTTAATTGAATATAAACAGTCTCGTACCCTCAAATTTTATTGATTTGAATTTCTTTATTCAAACAGAAAATTTAAACTATGCGGTTTAAATTATAGTTTGAATTAGTGTTTAAATATGCAGTTAAAATTTTAATCTGAACAAAAAATAAAATTTAAATTGGTATTTAATATGTGTGAAAAACATAAAAAATAGACATTTTTTTAGTGTTTAAAAATGATTCAAACAGTAAAATTAAAAAAAGAACTAAATTTTAAATTAGATAATTTAAATAGAAAATATAATTTAAATTACGTGTTTATTAAATATTAATCAAACTGTACTAATTTTTTAAACTAAGATCTCGTTCACTTCGTAAATTCGAGTTTTTAATTTAAATTGAGATGTGATATTTTCTGAGAACTTTTCACTGTAATAGAAAAAGTTAGATATAATATTTTTTAAAATTTTTTATTATAACAAAAAAAATTAAATGTGATATTTTTTAAAAAATTTTTACTGTAAAAATCTAAAACTCAAAACTCGAATTTTAAGTTAAACTAGCCAAAAAAGAGCTTCATTTCGTGCGTTGAAAGGGAAGGCCATGGACCAAAGTCATACTCATACCCTTAAATCCTAATTACTCTCACCGACGATCTTCCTCACTCTTTTTTTTTTTTTTTGTTTATGAAAGAAATCTTCCAAAAATTTCGACATCCAGATCTCGCAGAATTCGCAGGCCTGTTCACCAGATTTACCGGAGTTTCGTCTGGATTGGTCCACCTTACGTGTAAGCTTTCGATTCCCTCTTTTATCCTACTGTTTACTTGCACAGCGAATAGTAAACTCTGCTCTATTTTGTGGCTGTTTGTTTCTCAGGAATTTCAGAGGTCAGATTTTCCATTATTTGCTTAGAAATTAAGGAAGAAAATGGAATGCGAGATGTTAAAGAGAGAGAGAAAACAGAATTTAGAATTTGGATTTAGGTTTTATTGTGTGCTAGATTTGCGTCAGTACGGGTTTATTGAGAAGAATGGGGCGATAATTTTCGTTGATAGGGTTTTCCCAAATATATATATATATATATATATATATCTAACTTTGACTTTTCTCGGTGAAATTTTCTTGGCAGTTTCTCGGTAACCAAACGGAGAATCTCTGAACTCGGATCAGATGGCGGATGGGACTGCACATTCGCGTTATGTGAAGTTGACTAAAGATCAAGCGCCTCTAGAAGATATTAAGCCCGGGGAGCTTAATCAGCCCATTGAAGTTCCTCAGGTTTTCCAATCTTTTCTCCTCTCTCTTGTGATGTTTTTCCTTTATTATTAATTTGTATCAGCTAATCCTATGGCATACTTGTTTTGGATTGTTAAACCCGTCCCAGTTTTCATGTGGAATGATAAAGCAACTCTTGTTATTGAAATTATTGCCGTTGAGGCTGTTTGAAAAAGGGTTTAATTTTGAATTTTTGTTTTTGGGATTTCGGAGTTGGAGTTCCTTTCAGAACCGATAGTTTCATCAGTTCTATTGGCAGTTTGTAAATTTATTACATTTAAGTTTGTTTTACTTTCTTGCTTATATAGATTGAGTCTGTTAGTTTATACAACAGTCATAGATGGTTCATGGGTGTCGCTAATGCTATATATGGGGAATATAAATAAAGTTTGTAAAATTGGATTTAATTAGATGCAAAAGCAGTTACGGATTTTCATAACTTTGACAGTTGAATGTTCGCAAGTGCAATGAGTGCGGGCAGCCTCTACCTGAAAGTTTTGAACCGCCTGCTGATGAACCCTGGACCACTGGGATCTTTGGCTGTGCCGAAGACAAAGATAGTTGTGAGTTGATTTGCAAAACGAGCGTACTATTTCTTGTACTTGATGCGGCATGTTCTATGTAATAGTTGATTGGATAAAAAGTATAAATTCATTCTGGAGTTTTTCTTTTTAGGTTTAACAGGACTATTTTGCCCATGTGTTCTCTTCGGACGCAATGTTGAAAGCTTAAGAGATGACACCCCATGGACTACTCCTTGCGTTTGTCATGCCGTTTGTGTTGAAGGTGGAATGGCTCTCGCAGCAGCAACTGCAATCTTTCATGGTGCCAACCCAAGTACTGCATTTCTCATTTGCGAGGGTCTGTTATTTGGTTGGTGGATGTGTGGCATATACACTGGTCTTGCTCGGCAGACATTACAGAAAAAGTACCATCTGAAGGTAACTTGAGATATTTAATAATACTGCAACTGCAAGTAATTAAATGGCAAAAAATGATCCCGTTCTTCTCTTACACTTTGTTTTCTATGCCCTCCAAAGTTTCTCAGTCATCTCCCCCCATATCAAATAATTCATTTGATTGAAGTTATCTAATGAGAACACCATTACAGTATTGTGATTGATTTGTACAAATATATTTTCTAGTGCTACGAAAGAATGAAAGATAAGAAGGAAATTTAACTAAGCCTGATCATATGTTTGACTGTAGAACTCGCCATGTGACCCTTGCATGGTTCATTGTTGCTTGCACTGGTGTGCCTTGTGTCAGGAGCACCGGGAGATGAAGAACCGTCTCTCGGAGAACGTTGTGATGCCAATGACCGTTGTACACCCTCCCCCAGTTCAAGAGATGAAATCCGAGGATGAGAACCAGGCTTCTTCACCAAACTCATCTGCTAACAACAATGGGCATACCAATTTGGAAATGCAGGCTTTGTAGGATAACGTACCCGATTCCTTATATTAGTTCTAGATCTTTCATCATGTTTAGACGAGTACCTCATGGTTGTAAAAATTACAAATATTTTGGTCCGCATACACAGTCTACATTCCCTTTTATACCTGTTCCGTCCAGAGACAAAGAAGTGACCTGACTTCTGGAACCACCTGTCCCTGCGAGATTTTTCATGATATTGGACCTTAAATTCTTGTCTGATGTTGATAAATATTTTTTTTTTGGTATTTTTATTTTTATTTCTTTGTAGGAGAATATGCTTTTGCAAAGAGAAAACAGGATCCGTGGTCCGTTCAACAATATCACGAGACCAAACACTGCAGCCAAAACAACCTACCATATGCTTAAATATTAATGACGGAGCCAACAATACCATAATCAAATCTCTTTGTAAAAACAGAGCATCTTTCAATATTAATTGCGTGCATTAGTAACTACCAACGGGTTGGTGGAAGAGTAAGAATATTTTTCTCTCCTCCTTTCGGGATGTGTCCAGGATTTAATACTCTGCAGTTCTAAGATCTATTTTATGATACGTATTTGGTCAAATTGTTGTGTGGCATTGAGTATATAGTGGCATAAGTGAAAATCGAATATATTTTCCGAGTAAAATTGAATCAAATCCTTTCTGTTCTACGTGTGATCTCTAAGACTTTCAAAAGGGTTGATTAGTTTGTGGGTTCGGATGGTGTGATTTTGATCTTTTGGTTCGAACTAAAAGTTACGAACCTATTTGGTTTAACTCTGGTTCAAACTGGCTTTTAGTTAAACATGGAATAAAACAAGACATTAGGAAATTGTGTTTGATTAATGTGAGAATTGTGAATAAACAAGAAGTAGAGTCAGGGTTTTACTGCAGTAAATAAGTTCAATTTCAAACCCATCTTAACTGATGCAAAACTAAATATCAGTTTGAGTCATACTCATGGGTTTAAAGTGCAAAAACTTAGAAACAAATGCCACCAAAGGTCCAAAGTAACAAAGGGGATGCAGGACAAGATGACATGCTTGGATGAATTTTACCATCCATGGACCATTTCTTCTTTCTTATCGGAATAGATTAACGCCTACTTAGCAATTTTACCATGTTCAATTGCTCATGAATCAATGAATCATGGACTCCTTTTTTTTTTTTTTTTGGCTTAAAAATGAATCATGGACTTGACTGAACATGAATGATGCACCTCGTAGTCCCAAACAAATTATGGTAATTATCAAACTGCTTCAAGGTTTCGAATTTCCTTGGTATTAGGCATGGCATTCCATGGGCGCACGTGATCCATCACATCAGTGTACGAGCCCCACCAAAATATTCGAAATCGGTGGCACATTTCCTCATCAGCAATCATATACAAGTTTACAACCGTCGAACCATGCGGGACCCACTTTGCAACATCAAAACGAACGGCAATGATTCATTATATTCCGTACAGCATTACCACACAATATACACCCTCTCAGTTCTTGTCCGTTTTGAAGGCCACGGTCAAATAGTCAAACTTCAGACATTTCATTCAAACAATTATTTGTCATTACTCTGCGTTTCTCCTCCTGATTTCTCTCTCTCCCTCTCTCTCTAGCTCACTCGCACCCACTTCCATGGAGAGGCCAGAGATGGTGGCAAAGACGGAGGACGAAACAAGAAGAAGGAGACCAAGAGCCGTGAGGCCCAACAAGCAACTCCTGGTGGGCCAAGCCCCTCTCTCTCTAGCTCACTCGCACCCACTTCCATGGAGAGGCCAGAGATGGAGGCAAAGACGGAGGACGAAACAAGAAGAAGGAGACCAAGAGGCGTGAGGCCCAACAAGCAACTCATGGTGGGCCGAGCCGCACGGCCCACGTTGCCATCGCCGGCGGTGACGAGGCCTCTGGGGAGCGAGGTGAAGCTGGAGGCGGTGGCCGTTGATCTAAATGTACGGCTGAGATCGGCGGACATGCCGGCGGTGATGCAGGTGCGTGCCTTCCGTTGCACCAGATCACTCCTCAACGCGAATCCCGAGGAGAAGAAGAAGCCCAATCCCACCCACCTGGCCATGTCCCTCAAGAAAGTGAGCTCCTTTTAGCATCAACGATCTTTTTTCTTTTCTTTTTTTTATAAATATTTTTTAAACTAAAAATTCGATTTTTTTTTCTTTTGGGTCAGGAATTTGACGCACTGTACGGTCCGGCATGGCACTGCATTGTAGGGAAGAGCTTCGGATCGTTTGTGACTCACTCAAGCGGAGGGTTTGTGTATTACTCGGTGGAGAAGCTCAGTTTTCTTCTGTTCAAGACTCAAGTTCGGCCGGTGAAGACTCGTCAAATTCGTTACGTTTGAATGCGACTAGCAACCAGCGTTTGGATGACTTTCAAATTGGTGCATACTTTGTTTAATACGACCACGTGTATATGATAGTCGCAGAAGACTACTTGAAGGACTTGAGAATTTTGTTTCTTAGGCACCAGGAGATTTAAGATTAATCGCAAACTTGCTGTTAATGTTGTCGTTTTTGCTTTGACAATATTTTTTTTTGTATTTGTATATTTAGTTTTGAGTTAATTTCAGAAGTAGTCCTGAGATTTACCTAATCTCACTTTACTCTTTGACTTTAAAGATTCATTTGGTATATAAGTTTAAACCGGTGATTTGATTATGATTTTTAAAATTCAAAATTTTTTTGCAAAAAAACACTTGCAGAATCAAACATAAATAATTCATATACTAAACGTACCCTTAAACGTGTCACTAAAGTTTTACTATGCTTTAGTTTCAATTCTTCTTTTAATTAAATGTTAAATATTTAATAGAATATGTGTAAATTATGGATTAAAATTAAAAACAGTTAGATTTTAGGAACTATTTGTAGAGATTAACATTTATTTTTTATATTGTTTTCGTCTCTAAATTTTAGATGTTTTGAATTTTAGTTCTTAACTTTCACAAGTTATGTTAAATATTTAAAACATGGCTAATAGAAAGATTAAAACTAAAACAAAATAAAACCTCAAAAACTAATTATGAGACATTTTAAAAGTCATCAACCAAACTACCCTTTTTGTTAATTAAATAAAAATCAATATTTAAAAAAAAATCTGAAAATATTTTAAAATATTAAAATATTTAAAAGAAAACAACAAAATAAAAAAGTTTATGATATAGTTTTTTATAGATTTATTAGTTTTCAGTTAATTAAATAGAATGATATTAAGGTCATTTTAAGTCTCAAAAATCGGGTTTAGAGTACCAAGAAAATGATTTTAAAACGTTGAGGTACTCCGCTAAAAAAAACGCTGAGGTACTCTTTTAAAAAAACACATTAAGATACCATTTTAATATTATCAAAAACAGTGTACTAAGAACATATTTCGTTATAACAGAATATCAAAAATAATTTTATCGATAAATAAATTTAGCAAAGTTCACTGTAGTAAGCGGTAAATGAAATTTTGAAACTATTTTTTCTTTTTATGGGACGATAAAATTACATTATGCAACAGAGTTCTGTCAGGATAAGAATACGTGTGTATGATTCTCCAAAAACAAAATATTGCAAATATTTAGGAGTCCTTTTCCTACTTCCTTTTCCTACTAGTATAGGGATACTACAACTTCTATATAATCTCATTTAACACTTGCCGCATTCCCAATATGATAAGCTTTTTTTTTTTTTTTT